CGGTCCCTATGCACTCATGCCTCCCCCACTTTCCCTTCCAGCAAGAAGCTGGAGCTAGTTCTCCAGCCATTGCTGGGGAAGGCAGGAGGTTGAGCTCCCACCATGGGTGCCACTTAAAATTGGCTCATGTGCCACTTAAAATTGGCGCATGTGCCGTAGGTTACCAACTCCTGATCTATCCCACGTGTAGCTCATTCTGAAATACAGGGTGAGCTCTCTTACATGCAAAATTATTAGACACTATAAAACCTAACCTCATTTAAAGTGCAGTAATATACTAGGTAACCATCAACTTCATTATAAACTTGAAACTTTTCAGTTGGTACACAATGCAATGACCTTGCTATGCTCAGAAATTGTAGCTTCTGGTTTTAAGATAAGAATAATGAAATTTAATGGTCATCTTGCGGGATGTGACAGTATAACTGTCAATCACAAATATAGTTTTCAATAACATGAGAATAGCTAGGTTGTAGTGTATGTTTCAATGAAAAATGACATGATGAAGTAAATGTTAAATAACTTTTAGATCACTCAATACAGGACTAGGTAGCACTTTAAAGACTAACAAGATGGTTTATTAGATGATGAGCTTTCGTGGGCCAGACCCACTTCCTCAGATCAAATAGTGTAAGAAAATAGTCACAACCATATATACCAAAGGATACAATTAAAAAAATGAACACATATGAAAAGGACAAATCAAATATCAGAACAGAAGCGGGATGTGGGGGGAGGGGAGGAAGGTAAATTTCTGTGAGCTAATGATATTAGAGGTGATAATTGGGGAAGCTATCTTTGTAATGGGTAAGATAACTAGATCCTTTGTTCAGAGTAGTGATAGAAATGTAGCCATGTTAGTCTGGTGTAGCTGAAACAAAATACAGGACTATGTAGCACTTTAAAGACTAACAAGATGGTTTATTAGATGATGAGCTTTCGTGGGCCAGACCCACTTCCTCAAATCAAATAGTGGAAGAAAATAGTCACAACCACTTTGTTCAGACTCAAGTGTAAAGTGTCGAATTTTAGCATGAATAACAGTTCAGAGGATTCTCTTTCAAGTGCAGCCTTAAAAGGCTTTTGAAGCAGGATGCAGGTAATTAAGTCGTTGAGACAGTGTCCTTTCTGGTTGAAATGGCAAGAAACTGTTTTTTCTTTAGTCTTGGATTAAGGGATGTGGAGTGTGAAAGGGGCTCTGAGCTGCTCTTGGGGCAGGCAGTTGGGATATAGGAAGGGTTCTAGGTGCAGGTTCTGGTATGGTATTTGGATGCACGAGCTTGGGAGTGGGTTCATGGCAGAGGTTTGGGATTCTGCTCCAGCTGTGAACTACTTACCTGAGGTGGTTCCTGGGTGGTGGTGCAGTGGGGCTAAGGCAGGCTCGTGCTGGCCCTGGCCCTGGCCCACTGCCTAAAGCAGCCAGCAAACTCCATCCCAAGTCCTGTTGTGCCTCCTCTCTGCTCTGTGGAGAAAGGATAGAGTAGGAAGGGGCACTTTGACATCAATGCCCTTCCTCTCCTTGCCCTTCCCTGCCCAGAAAGCACTAAGCTCCCCAGGTTAAGGGGCAGCTCCAAGGCAAAGGGCAGAAGATGCACATCAGTTGGGGGAAGAGGCAGCTGAAGTGCTGGAACTTGATAGCCTCTTGGCCAAACCAGTCAGGATCAGCCGTCAGAGGCTCCAAGATCTACTAGTAGATCCCGATCTACTGATTGGTAAGCACTGCTGTAGGATTTATCAGAAACTGTATTCTGCACTAGTAGTTCTTTCAGAAACCATATTTCATTTTCTCTTTTAGACTGGTTATGTGTTCACATTCTAACATATAGTCTCCTTGCTCAGAATTGAAAGGCAGAGTGGTATTACAACCGAAACCAGTCACTTAACCTCAAGCATACCACCAAAGTTGCTGTGCCCAATAATTTGATATATATGGGTTATTTTTTTCCTCTGGTGAGGTTTCTTGTTCTTTTCTGTGATCAATGGATTAGATGTTCCATAGAATGCACCCTCTGCCTAAAACAGGATTTATAAACCTGCTTTCCCACCAAGAAAGGACAACACTTTTATCAAAATCTATGTCTTTTTTTATACCCAGACTTGCAACACAGCAGCCTGGAAGTCAACTTAAATCAATCTTTGGACTATGTGACTGTTTTCCTCTTTCAGTCCACCTATCAACCACCTATTTCTTCCTGGTGATCAATGGTGACAGACTGGATGGGGCATAGTCACAGAAATAGACAGTCATCTATTGAATTATTTTAAACTATAACTAGTGAAGCATGAATGTTGCTAAATCTGTATATTCGTTCTTGAATGGCCCATATCAGTAATGTTGTGAATATGCTGAAATTGGGAATGGTTAAACAGTCATTGAAAATTGGTTAATTTAAGTATCTGTGCTCTTAAGCTTTTAACTTGTTTTAGATAAGGGGTTATCGCCTGAACACCATTTATGAACAAAAGTCACCAAAGCCTCAAATTTAATCTAAAATTATCTAGAGTTAATTGTAAGCAATGTAATTCAATGTTAATTCAAGCTTTTTTCATGGTTTGGATTACTATTTTAATACATCTTCAATCTCATAACAGCTATATGCGAATTGCAATAGTTAAATAGAAAATGAATATATACAACACATTTAATACTTAAGTTGTCTTAATGTGACTGAGCAGTTGAACATTTCTAAACAGTTCACTTTTGAGATCTTAAAAAGTTATAAAAATGTTTTTCATAAGATTTCTTCTGTAAGTTACCCTCAGTCTATCCTGTCCAGTCCATGTGGGTTGTTTAGATGTTCACCGGGGTTTCTGTTGCGGATTAGTCAAACTGTATCCATACATAAGAACATCAATTACTGCAAGATTCCTCTGAAAAAGCATGGATCCTGCTGGCTAGTGTTTAGTTCCAACAGGTTTTCCAAAATGATTTGAGATTAATGACTATGGCAACCTCACAATCACTTTACAAAATAAAAATTTGCCTTAAAAATCTAAATTTTTATGTTAATCTATAAAATCATTAATGCAGGTAAATCGTACTTTTTCTTTATAGGGTCTTTCAAGAAGAGACTTCTGTATGTGGTCTCTGTAGAACATTTGGGGGTAATATGCTGTTGAAGACTGCGTATAGTCAAGTGATAAGGCTGATTGGAGTATTTACTGAGATGCCCCATCTGAAGGGCTTCGTTTTCTGTAACAGCCAAATGTAATTAAATGTTTTTGATCGAGCATCTTGCTTAGCAGTATTGTGAATTATTTTACCCCATTTTTGTCTGTCTCCTAGTTTCTGTGATTAGTGAAGGTTGATTTAGCATAAAGCAGAATTACAAAGGTATTTAATTAGGAGACAATTTACTCCTGATGCTTATTCTTATGTGACCACATTGTCAATCACCCCTCTAATTGGTGAGTCTGTTCATATGAATAAAGCAGCAGTCAGTATTGTCAAAGGAGTGGTTAAAACACCAGATGACTGCATACACAACCAGTTGATATGAAAGGCTTCAGTTGAATTTAAGAAATGATCTGCTTGGATAAAGCTCTTCACCTGACTACTAGTGATTATCTACTAAGTAGTCTGGGTAGAAGTATCAATTTTGAAACTTGCTTTTGGATAGGGCTATAGTGTGTGCTTTTACATTTGAATACCTCATAAATATTTCCCAAGAGCAATTTATTTTTCTAATTATCTTGAACAGCCTCTGCTTTACATAGTGCTTTAAGCAGTTTTCAATAAATCAATTCAATCATGCAGCTGTTGTTTGAAACTTTTCCTTAAGTTACTGTAATTCTTAATAGAGATCCAGAAATGCTCACTAATTAGTAACTTAATCATTCCTTGTACAATATGCATCACAAAATGGGTTATTTATTCTCAGAACTTCACATGAAAACTAGGCCAGTGTTTCTCAACCAGTAGTAGGAATACCCTTAGGGACACTCGAGAGAAGTCTGCGGGGGGGTACGTCAGCACAACTGAAATTTGGAGATAACTGAGTTTTTGTTTTAAGTTTTACAGTGCATTATTATTTTTATACTTTTTACATAAAAATTTTCATCGCCCTCCCAGTTACAATTAAGTTGTTTAAACAAATGTGTTGCAATGATAGAAAAAATTGCATGTGTCTGAAAATTGTAGATACAGGGGTACTTATTTTATTTTATTTTTATTTTTTTGAGAAAGAGGTACTTTATAAAAAAAGGTTGAGAAACACTGAACTAGGCAATAGGAACTTGATAATGTACACTTTTTCTTCTGCTTTGGGACTAGTTTATTTCTCTTGCATGATACATAAGGCAGTGTGCACATGTACAGGGAAGATGTATCTGTGCACTCAGTTTTTACATGCTTCTCATAACCTTACAAAATTATCATTTTAAGCTAAAACTTGTCATGCTTGATCTTGGATGTATGTTTTGAAGGAGAATTAAAACTAAAAAACTGGCTGTAGCAATTATAAAAGGAAATGAAAATGTTTCAACTTTAAAAGGAATTTAAGACTACTTTTGTATGCTGATAGTTCAAAAGGCTGAATTTGAAAATTACAAATTACACAAGTAACTAGAACTTCCTGTGTATGAAACCTGAATAAATTTTTAAAATTGCAGCTGTAAACAATTGTAACATGGGTTTGTTAGTTACTTTGTGAATATAGTAAGTGGTAGAGTAAAAAAACTATGGAGTTATGAAGAGATCATCACAGATGGCATCTTACTTTTCTCTTTAAAAAAATTTGAGGATAAAAAGCATAATGTACTATTATTAATATGCTATGAGAGATGGAGCATAGTTTGGAATTGCAAAATTAAATGTTCAAATAATGTGATCTTGTTCAACAATTACAGTAAAGGATAACAGCTGTGAAGCAGGGTTAAATGGGAAATCTCCAGATTAGAATAAGTAAAAGGTTGCTTTATATGCTTTTAAACACTTCATATTTAGCTTCAATATTAATTATAAAATAAAGCAATTTTTTAAAATAAATTTTCTTTTCCAGAAGTTGATTTACAATGATTACTGATCCTGCTGGTCAACTGAAAAGTATTCTCTGCTTGAGTATGTGCTAAGGACAAGTAAGTGGCTACTTTCAAATCCTGGCTATATACAGCTTGAAAAGCTATTCCTTCTTCTCACCTCATTTAAAACTATGAAATTGAAGCGTAAAACAAGGACCATAAAATTGTATTCACAAAGCTTTACCACTTGACAGCTGCCAGAAAGTGTTTGTTCCAAGTCCAGTTTTCTCTAGAACAGAGGTGGGAAAAAGTTTTCGCCTGCAGGCCATATCAGGATATAGAAATTTGTATAGAGAGCCATGAATGTTTATAACTGAGGTTGGGTTGTAAAAGTGGCTGCTGAGAGTGTGGACAGAAATTAGGAGTTTAGGGTATGGGAGTGGACTCCAGGCTGGGACAAAGAGTTGCAGGGGTAGGAGAAGAGGGTGTGTGTGTGTATGTGTGTGTTTAGAGAGAATGAGGGTGGTGGCTGGAGATGAGGGTCATGGGAGGGGCCAGGGATGTGGAGTTTGGGGTTCAGGAGTGTGCTCTGGGCTGGGACTGAAAGGCTTAGAGAGCAGGAGGAGGATCAGGGCTAGGGCAGACATTTGCGGTACAGGGCACTTAACCTCCTCAAGAAGCTGCTAGAATTAGCATCATGTCCCCCATCTGGCCAGCTCCTGTGAGGAGACATGGCCACGGGGCTTTGTGTGCTGCACCTCTGCCCACAGGTGCTGCCACTGTAGCACTCATTGGCCATAGTACCCATCCAGTTGGAGCTGCGGGGGCAATGCTTGGGGCAAGGGCAGCATAGGAGCCAAAAGGGGAACTTGCCTCTGCTTCTGGGAGCTACAGTACACATGGCAAACCAGTGAGCTCACTCCATTTTGGGATCACAAGGGCCAGATTCAACCTGCAGGCTGTAGTCCCCCCCCCCTTGCTTTGGGAGGGGGAAGAGAGAGACAGAGAGGGAGTGGGGGGAGAGGTTCTTAAACTGAAATCTTACAATGTAGATCTTAATGAGCTAGTCTGAGTTATCATAGCTTTTTAAAGAGGCGAGTTTAATATTTTTTAATCTAAAATTAAAAATAAGATGCTCCCTCTAGAGACTGGGTGAAAATTGTCCATTTGATTCTTCGTGATTGGCCATAACAGAAATGGTATTGAAGAAGGCACTACAGCCTTGTTGTACCTTCTTTACTCCGAATTTGTTAAATGTCTGAACAGTCTACTTACTATAACACTACAAATCCATATTTCTAATGAAGTGTTTATAGATGGATTAAAATTTTAAAATTAATATTAAAGTGGCAATTGTGTGTGTACAAATAACCACTTTCCTTCACACGTTAAACCTACATAAAGCCATTTACAATTCTTTGGTTTTAAAATGTTTTAAGGGTGTCTTTTTAATGTAGCTATTGTCAGTTGCATGATTATAAAATGAGTAAATAAAGCTGAAACTATCAAGCTCATCACTTTTGAACTCCTGCTAGTTGAAAAATACCATGTTGCAACCTTTTAATTTTTGTGTAGTCATACTAGGGGGTGGAGGAGGTTCTTTTAATTGTATAGTAAATGTACTATGCACCAAGTTAGGGAAAATTATCTTGTATGTCTTAGATTTAAGAAACCTTTCATTAAATATATTACTAAAAACAGTGAGCCAAAAGAATGTTCAAAGTGTGTGGTTCTCTGAAAAATGTCCCTCTGAAGGCAATGAAGTTGTGCAAGTGCAGTTGAGGGAAGAATGGTTAGCACTACTCAAGCATGTGCCAGAAAGAAACTCTCTCATTTCAGCTCATAGGTTGAGTTTACAGGACTGGCTGGCCATTGCAAACTTTATTTTATTGGTAAACGGAGGAAATTTTGACTTGTATCAAAATACACACAATTGGAATTCACTGCCATTTTTTCAGATTCACTTTTCCAAGTAGTGCTGCTCTTCAGCAAATGAATTTCCAGGGGTCTGTGTGGAGTGTTTTATGTTTTTCTTTAATAAAAACAAAACAAAACAGAAAAACCGCCCAAACCCTGTTGTAATTACATCTTCATATTTGGTGGGTAAACATCATTACTGCTATGTTTTTTAATTTAATGATTTTTGCATTCATAACTTGTTGAATAATTGGCACTTTTGCTGAAGTCTCTTATACTTTGAAGACTAGTACAGGGCAGCTATTAAGAGTTTGTATGGTACATCCTTACAGAGCAGAAAGCAGCCTCAGCAGGCTTGCATGGTTACGAAGCTGCAGAGCTTTCTTAGGCATTACATGTTTTCCCAAGCTGCCTTAAGTGTGATGCTAATAGAGGTTGAAGTTCTTTAGTCTGGCACCTTCAGAACTGGCCAGTGCTGAACCAGAGAATTTGCCCTACCATGGGAGGTCAATATTGTTTAGTAGCATTAACAACACATCCACTGCTTACTGGGCTTAGAAGACATTTGGGGTAAATTAGAGCTAAATAACAGCATACAACGCTGAGAGCCAGTTTTAGTGGCTGTAAACAAACTTTATGGGACCGTGAAGAACTTAGCCATGATAAGTTAACATCTGGCTAATAAAATGCTGCACCATGGATGTTGCTGCACCAGGGTGTACTGGATTAGAGAGGTTCAACTTGTATTGGTAGGGGAAGGAAAAAATCATATACCGGGGAATGTTGGTTTTAAATATGGAAAAATTACCACAAGCTTTATGGATCCCAAATAAGTGATTAGATATATTATAATAGGGAGTTGGGGAACTCTGTTTGCACAAATTCTGCTTTTTTTCCTCTCCCCTCCCCCCAAGTATTTAAGGAAAAAAATGCTCCTTTTTAACACTGCCTGAATAGAAATAGTGTTATGTTCTCTAATCCTTTTCTTTTTAGGTTTTTCAGAGAACTTCCTATATCGGGGTGGCAATAATTTTTAACCGGGGGCCACTTGCAGAAATTTTTGAAGTCGCCCTGGGTCACCCCAGAAGGGGTGAGGCTGCAGATGGAAGGGGTGGGGTCAGAAGACTTTGGTGTTTCCCCACTCATACACCCTTATTGGTCTGGGGGCAGCAGAACCCATGGGGTACGTCTAAACTACATGGCTCTGTCGACGGAGCCATGTAGATTTGTTGTTTTGGCAAAGTCAAATGAAGCCGCGATTTAAATGAAGTCTCTTTCAGAGACTTCATTTAAATTTACATGGCTGCCGCGCTGAGCCGACAAACAGCTGATCAGCTGTTTGTCCGCTCAGCGCGCTAGTCTGGACGCTCCCCTGCCGACATCAAAGCCCTTTGTCGGCAGCCCCGTTATTCCTCGTGGGATGAGGTTTCCCGGGGCTGCCGACAAAGGGCTTTGATGTCGGCACGGGAGCGTCCAGACTAGCGCGCTGAGCGGACAAACAGCTGATCAGCTGTTTGTCGGCTCAGCGCGGCAGCCATGTAAATTTAAATGAAGTCTCTGAAAGAGACTTCATTTAAATCGCGGCTTCATTTGACTTTGCCTATGTGTCTAATCTACATGCCTCTGACGACAGAGGCATGTAGTCTAGACACAGCCATGAAGTCTTTGCCCCCCGAGAGAACCACCAGCAATTCTGAACAGCTACAGTTCCTTCTAGGTGCCTGCGCCCTTGGCGGTGGAAGGAGACTTCTTTCGCTTTCCACCCCAACCCTTTCTCATTGATCTGTGGGTAAAGGGGGAGGGGGAGCATGTGAGGTCTCTGACTTCCTGCCTCTGTCCTGCAAGGGACTGCCATGCTTAGAGTCAACTGCCAGGTGAGCAGCAGTTGACTCTAAGCGCCATGTGTCCGCTGCAGGGCAGGTGGAGACTTTTCATGCTCCTCCCACCGCTAGCCAATCAGGACTTGGGGGCGCCGGAAGCATGTGAAGTCTCCTTCCGCCCTGTGAAGAGTGTGTGCTGCTTCTAAGCACCACACACTCCTTGCAGGGTTTGAGAACACTTTGCACTCTTCCCCTCATCCCCAGGCCCTGATCTGCCTGGGGGTGGGGGAGCAGTAGGGCCTCAACCAGCTGGATCTGGCCTGCGGAGGCCCTTTTGCCCTCCCCTGTCCTATATGCTACTTTGAGTAATAATGAAATGCTAAATTCAATCCTTCGACTGTCAAATTGTATCACTACGAAATTTAAAATTTTGTAACCAGGCTACGTTCAGCAATTTAAAATATTTCAATCTGTTTCGTGAGCTTGGTTAAGAAACGCGCACTATGATTCTGACATGTTTGCTGTACCCACATCCTTCCTGAACTATCCTCAACCTTTCATCTTATTTTAAGAACTTCCTCTCTCTTTCCATAGTTGCTTCTAGCACTGCAGCAGCATGCCTCTGCCTTGGAATGCAATTACTGTGAAAACAGCACCAATCTTACTCTGTGTCTGTGTCACCTGCAGAATGACACTTAATTCTTTCATAGTTCTGTAGATCTAGAACCTTGTGACTATGAAGTGTGACCTTGAGAGAATGCTAACTGTAGATTTTTTTATGTGATCATACTGTTTTTTATAAAGCACTTTTAAAAATTTAAAACTATATAATTCAGATGAACAGAAATAGCTTCCTAGCACGTTCTTTGATTCTGTGCTGCTTAGCTGAAGTATATGCTACTCATGCAAGTGCTTTATGATATTCTGCCATCTAGTGGCAATTGGACAACTCATTTGTTTTTCTTGGGCACATATAAGTAATCACTGTTTTAAATGTATTATATTTTTAAAATGTATCATAAACCAACATCTGGTTGAAAGAATGAGATATCTCATGTTTGCTTTTCCTCAGTTGTTAAACATTGGAGTTTGGTATGTCAAATAGGTAGCTACAAACTGTTTTGAATCTGAATTTGGAGCATAAATGTTCTTCTTCGAGAGATGTCCCTGTGGTTGCTCCACAATAGGGACCACTGAGCCATCGAACAGAGTTATTAGAGCAGTGTCCCTGGGGCCACGCATGTGCACGTCTGCAGCCGTGCACACCTAGGTGGCAGGCATTGAGCATGCGTGAACCCTGCACCCTTCAGTTCCTTCTCTATCACCTCCATCCGGAAAAGATCAGCAGCGCTCCCCATCTTGTTCATGTTTAGATACTAA